CGCGGGGGGCGTTCACAGGGGGTTTAATTCATCGCGTCGCGGTTGGGAGCGCTGGGTGCCCGCGGGAGCTCCGCAGGCCCCGCTCCCTTCCGCGGCCGGGATGGAAGATCCCTGAGTGAATTGGCTCTGCCGTGGTGATGGGCTTTGTGCCGCTAGCATCTGTTCTGCCACGGCTCTGGTGATCTCGAGGGGGCTGCAATTTGGAAAAGCCGCTGTCTTCTGCAGAGCGGTAGTTAGTTGCATCATAAGTGATTCTGCGATGGCGCATGTGTGGGAAAATGCTGCTGTTTGGCTGGATCCAGCTGTGCCTGGAGAATTTAGAGTAAACTGCATAAATTCTTAAGGGCTGCGTAACCGCAGAAATTCCATAACTGCACCACGTGTATGTCTGCATGCTCTGTTTTTACGGGACCTGTTTGTGCAGCTTTGTTAAAGTTGCGCTCTGTTGAGTGTCGAGGTGTTCCTATGGACGCATCTATCGGTGTAACTGGGAAGAGTTATTTGTGAGGGAGAGCACGCTCCCCTGTGCTGCAGCATCTGTGGTACCCGGTGTGTTAAATCTCCTAGCCGAGTCACCTGTTGTGGTTGTATTCCTTGTTTCAGCTGTGCCTTTGGCAAGAACCTGCTGGATTCTTTCGGTTGGGTGTACGGTGCAATCTGCCTCTGTGGCTGCACGGGTTGGGAGGGGCTGAGGCATGGTGCTCCCACCCGGCCATGAGGGCACGGTCACGAGTGGGCAGCGAGTTGTGCAGAAATAAACGTTTGCAAATACCAAGTGTGTCCCCAGTGGGGGCTCTGCTGGCTCGGTCACGCTGCAAAGCGCTTCCTTTTAAATGGGCTCTGGTCCTCACGTCCTCACCAGGAAAAAACAACCAACCACTTCTATGCTTTCTTCATCTGTTAACTCATGCCGGTTACTTCACGTGCCGATCTGGCTGTGTCTGGGGAATTGGGAGTGAGCTTTTTCAGGTCACCTAGTTACTGGGTAATGTGCTTAAAACCACCTCTTTTTCTCATGTAAGTTCAGATTTAGTTTAAGTAAGTTTCTTGTTTGTCATAGTCAGGCCCTGGTGTGTAAAACATGGCTCTGTGAAGTCACCTTGGTTTAGCCGGCTCCTGCGCTTTGTGTGGCAGTTGAGATTTGCCTTTTCCACCGCTGGCTTGGGCTGAGGTGTGGGTGAACTTCTACCTGTGGCTTATTAATTCAGCAAAGCTGACTTAATGGCTTTGCACCTATTTGTTACTACCCATCCCATAATTTAGCACTGCCTCAGATGTGGTGATTGCTTTCTTTGTTTCTACACTAATCGCATCATTAACGTGGTACAGCACAGCTCGGGCAG